GGGGGGGGGGGGGGGGGGGTTCTCGTCGAGGGGGCCCACTCGAGTCGTGCGGCGAAAATCCCGGGCGGATTTAGGGCGACAAAAACGGTTAATGAGTCATACGCGGCCCCGTTATAAATGGCGCGTCGCGGCGCGGGGCCCGTTGGACGGGGCGCGTGGCAGGCATCGGTGTCGCCGGTGTCAATAGCCGCGGACACGAACGCGGTGACGATTGGGACGCCAAGGACGCACCGGCCGAAAGCCTAGGTCAAGGTCGACTCGACCCACATTTCGCTGCCCACGGCCCGAGGCGCCGGGCAGTGAATGCTGAAACCGCGGGTCGATGAGCGGCATCGATTAGCGCGATGAATACTCGAAGGGTCATTACCACACGGCAAAAAAAAGAAGTTCGATTGTTCGAGCTGTGTGCGTTTGGTGCACTGGAAGAAAAACCACATTAGATCTAGAGTCCAGACTCTTGAAAACATCGACAAGAGAAAGGACTCTTGATTCAAGCAGATTTGGACCGAGTTGAACAGAAAGGAACCAAGCCACATCGGGATCGAACGGAGGAAGAGAGGTTCAAAGTTTTGCTCCTGCATAAGACTCAATGTAGAAGAGGAACTTTAAGTTCAATTTCTGCAAAATTCGCTCCAACAAAAACTTTGAACTTCTGGCGATAGATAGTAGAGCAGTAGTTGAGTTCAAAACCAATCATAACTCAATTTGTTCCGAAATGTGGGTTGGTTCCTTTCTGCTTAACTCGGTCCATTTAAGCTTAAATCAAAAGGAAATCCGCTTAAATTAAGAGGCTTGGTTCTTGATTTAAGCTTAAATCAAAAGGAAATCCGCTCAAATTAAGAGGCTTGGTTCTTGATTTAAGCTTGAATCTGATTGAATCAATAGTATTTTTTCTTGTCGATGTTTTTAGGAGTATGGACTCTAGATCCAATGTGTTTTTTTTTCCAGTGTGCATCCTATGCAATATGACGCACGAAGACAACTGCCGTGATAGCGATGAGAGCGGTAAGCGTCAAATTTTCGAAATCGAGTTTCCTTCACAATTCGTCTGATCTCTTTAAATGAAATCACTGAAATATCTAAAACAGCAAAATTCATCTTACTCGTATAAAAACGAGAAAAATTTGGCGAGAAAAAATACTCTTGATTTAATCGAAATTTTGCTTGAAACACTAAAAGAAATTCTGCTTAAATTAATGGGCTGTCGATTCAAGCAAACATCCTGAAGGTATAGTTTCAACTTTCCTATTGTTTTTATGAACGAGGAGTAGAAAGACATTTGAAGGAAGTTGTAGAAAACATTAGGGTGTTTTCTGCTGACAACATAAAACATATGTATGGAAAAATTGGGAAACGTAGTTATTAGTAGTAGTATTGTAGTTTTTTTCCACTGTAGTTATTGGTTAGAATGACTACCGGTCAAATCCTTCAAATATTCATTACGTGAGACTGAGTGTTGATTTCCAATCCAATTTCTACGCAGTAAAAAATATACCCAGTGCGATGTCTAAAATATATTGTCCGTGCGAGGAAAGCTGTTTCCTTGCGATAACATTTCACTCTCAACACTGTCCTATTCAATTTCTTCCTGCAAAGAACCGCAAATGTAAAAACAGCATATCAACGATATAATCCAAATGTAAAACCCGGTGTTTACACCCAGGTCTTCAATTTCAATTTCAATTTCAATCCTCATCAGTAGCGAGGCGTTAATGATCGACTATCGATATTTCCCCATTTGAAGCTACGATGAAGAATCGATTATTCAGGTGTTCGTTGCGGACACCCTGCTAATCGATACTTTTCCATAGGTTTAAACGGCAGCTCAATCGATGTATCGCGAATCACGGCGGTCTTCAATTTCAATCCTCGTCAGTGGCGAGGCCTCGATGATCGACTATCGATATTTCCCCATTTGAAGCTACGGCGAAGAATCGATTATTAAGGTGTTCGTTGCGGACACCCTGCTAATCGATACTTTTCCATAGGTTTAAATAGGCTCAATCGATGTATCGCGAATCACGGCGGTCCGACAACGCGCCCGGAGCAGCGAGGAGAGTGATATGACTTGCAAGTTCTCACACTAGATCGCATCGCATTGTCGCGACCGCGCGCGGCTCGTGTGAACGTGGTCTCGGATTCGCACCTCCGACAATTCAACTTTCTTCTCTCCGAGCGCGGGTAAAAGCGCGGACCTGCGCGAGCTTTTCGTGGGGAGGATACGCGGTTTTCCTCCGAAAAGACAGATTTCCAGAGAAACCGAGGGCGCGGTCCCACAATTTCAGCCCCGCCACGCGGAGATTCATTTTCAAACTCAAATTGATAAATGCTCCTCTGACGATGCGCGCAACCGGTTGTTTTTTCGAGTGCTGACTCGGCACATCGAGCGGGGACTTAACTTCCGCAAACTATGATCAAAACACGAAAAATTCGAAAGTCGATGTTCTTGGGCGAAAGAAATTATAGCCCAAATGTGTTTGATCTCTACTGGTTTATTTTTCTTGCCAAGCGTTTAAGTCTCCAAGATTGCATGAAATGCATGGGGATTAGAACCTCCCAAAACAAGATCATTCCTTGCCTCAAAAGAAATTATAGCCAAAATGTGCTTGATCTCTACTGGTTTATTTTTCTTGCCAAGCGTTTAAGTCTCCAGGATTGCATGAAATGCGTGGGGATTAGAACCTCCCAAAACAAGATCATTTGCTTCTTTTCTGCAAAGGTGTATTCAAAGCTATTTCCTGAGATTAGCTTGGCCCCAAGTAGGGTTCGATAATCTCTGCGACAAAAATTCCGCGAAAATTGTGAAAAATTTTCCACAATTTTAAGTCCGTAAAAATTGTGGAAAGCCATCGGACTTCTTCCCCTTTCTTTTTCTGGCGATGTCCGGCATAGAAATAGTTAAATAAGTGTCGATTGAGCCCTTTCTGCTGCCATCATAAAATTTTCTTGCCACCGGTTGACCAAAAGACCTGACGGCTGAAAAAATAAAGGTCGTCACTTTCTGTGGAAGCACTTTTTCAGCTCGCGTGAAATGGTGGAAAGCAATTAAGGTTTATCGACCCCCGACTCCAAATTTTCAAGAAGTGTGGGAGTTTTGCATTTATGTCTTCCCATTACAAAAGAGAGTTTTAGAGGATGGTCTTAGAAAACTATTGGAAAATTACCTGTTTTAGATTCATATTTGAGGAATATTATAAAATTGAACAAATCAGGTCGCGCAAAATTTAGTCGAGTTGATGCCTATTAAATTCGCTTACTCACCGTTGCCACACAGACATCGGTCAAAAACGATTCGAAATTATTTAGGTGATTCGATGGACGCCATATTTTGTATCAGAACGGCATGCGATATAGGTATCGCATCAATTGGTTCCATTTTTTCAGCTACTCGTCATTTTTCTCCAATTTTGAGATCTCAATTTTGTTGTCAGGTGACTAAAGCACTCACTTACCAATTTTGACAAAGAAATTCAACGTGATAAAGGCGTGGTTTTCTTAGAGAGAAAACATAGCATTCGATACTGATATCGAAACTGCACTCGAATGCGATATTTTCTCTCTAAAAAACCACGCCTTTATTACGTTGACTTTATTTGTTAAAATTGGTAAGAGAGTGCTTTAGTCTCCTGACAACAGAATTGCGATCTCAAAATTGGAGAAAAATGACGAGTAGCTGAAAAAATGGAGCCAATTGATGCGATATATCGCATGCCGTTCTGACACAAAATATGGCGTCCATCGAATCACCTTAAATATTTACGAGCACGAAGCGGCAACAACCCGCTCAAAAGCACGCGAGTACTTTGAGCTCCGTTCGAGAGTAATTCGTATCATAATTGATATTTTATTTATTTCGGGCCGCTCTGCATTCTCTAATTAGCACCCTGGCCGAAGCCCCGCCTCGCCACCCCCCCCCTCCCAGCCCCCTCGGGAGCTCCCTCTAAATTGTTCACGAAACGTTCGCACGGAATGCCGAGCGGACGCGTTTTGAAGAGGCTGCGGGCCATTGTTAACGCGCTCTGATTTATCGCCCACTTTCCCGTAAGATTCCCGATTAATTCGAGGTTTTCTCGAGGAGATCCGGCAACATCGTGGGAGGTGAGATCCACGGAGCCGCGGGCCGGCCGCACTTCTCACCTCGGAGTACCGTTTTTGGAGGAATTTATCAAATTAAGAGATGCAAAGTTGCTCGGACGTCCCCGGAGGAGACGGTTTAAACCGAACCGACGTTGTCAGATTTTTCGGCCATTCTTACGACCGTGAAGTCGCAACCAAGGGGTTTTTCATAAGATACCAACGGGACGCTCTGAGAAGAGAAGGGGGTACAAAGGGGACGTGCCTACACCCCCCCCCCCCCCTCGAACAGAAAACAGAAAAATCCTATGATTAAAGTCGTCTATTCTGTCGTGCTGAGGAAGAACCCGAACATTCGAGAGTTGCAAAATTTCCATCTATAACATGTTTATTTCGGAGAAAAGTCATGAATGATTTTCCTTGAAATTTTCAGGAACTTTAGGTGTAAAAGGGAATAAAATTACCTGAAGAATTGAATGGAGACGTGCGAAAACCGCTATTGTCCATTTTTCCAGTCTTCAGTTTTTTTTAGTTCATAATACTTTTCGGAGTTGGATGCAACCACGAAAGTGGATTTGATACTCGTCTCTGGGTTACCATAATCCCAAAACGAGTCGTTTCATCACTTTTATGGTTGTATCAACTCTTTAAAAATACTATCAATTCAAAAAAAACTAAAGACTAGAAAAATAGATATTAGCGGTTTTCGCACGTCCCAATTTAATTGGAAGTAACATTTTCACTAGTTTACCAGAAAATTCATCTTTCATCAAAGGAAACTCGGTATAACGCCTGGAGGCTCATGCGGCGTTTTTCCTTAGCACGGCAGTATCGATTGATTTTGCTCATAAATAAAGAATAAACTTACCACAAAATGGGATTCCTTCGGGGACCCACTGTCCAGTCTTGTCGCAGACCCTCCTGGAGGGCCCGAGGAGTTCGAAGCCCCGTTCACACGTGTAAGTGGCCACGGTGCCCACTCCCAACGACTCGTTCGAGAAAAACACTGACGAGTGAGCCGGAGCCCCCGGAAACCGACATCGGGCTTCTCCTGAAACAAACAAAAACAACAAAAATCAGTCATTTTGAACCGTGTCTGCGTATTCTATTAACATGGATTCAAATAGGACATTCAGAATTCATCAGAATTCAACAAAGATTTCATAAAAAGCCGGAAGAGGTGACTATCATGATCGAAAACTTTCAGTTACAGCGTTGCGCGGTCAATCACCACGAGTTTATTTTTCTTAACGAGCGTTCGAGTCTCCAAGATTAAACAGAGTGTCCCAATCCCAAAAGCCCTTACTTCGTCTATTTAAATTTTTTATGAGCTTTTGAAACGAGACTTTCGGAATGCTTCTCGGTCAAAGAGTATTACTAACTGTTTCGCGTTTCAAAAATTGATAGGGGCGACTCCTCTCAGAGGATGCCCCAAAAATTTTTGGATACACCAAAAAGAGAATTCTTTTTGACCTAACAACATTCGCCAAGTTTCGTTTCGAAAGCTCAGTTAGGACACATTTTCAAAGAGAGGGGGCGCGGGGTGAGGGTGTAAGGACTCAAGGGACAATCTGTATACTTTAGACCTACGGCAAAAGAAATTATTGATTCTGATACAGATGTCAAATACATTCACAAACAGCTAAGATCAAGATTAGAAAGTGTTGTTTGCATTTAATGTTGCAAAGAAGAGCCAAATCGCCTAACATTTTTTTCCAAAAAAAACTCATATAACACCGGATGTCGTACGGATTTTGAAGAAACCCAAGATTCAACTGTCCTAGAAAATCTTAGGAAAACTATACCTACTGCAAGGGACAAGTAAATGTTCCCGTCATAACCGATTACGACATAATCTTTCGAACATCATCCACGGCAACAAAAGCACCCATCTACGCATTAAAATGTGCTTTGCTCGAAAAGAGCTGCGAAGAAAATGGAGAAAAGCGAGCAAAGCGGGAAAATTGTAAAGATTGCGCAATCCGTGAAAGTCGCGTGGATAACGATCCTCTCGGTCTCACAAAAGCTTTGGTCTATGCACGGTTGCCAATGATAACATGTTGCCGCACGCAAGAGAGTCTAATTTTGTGACGGATCCAGGCAAAATAGCCTTAGAGAACCTTGAATAACAAAGTTGAGATTAACACCAATGCGGTTTTACCCGCAGCTATCACTTTCAGAAAGGGTTAATTTCAAACGGTTGTAACATACACTGGAAAAAAAAAAACATTGGATTCCGAGTCCAGACTCTTAAAAACATCGACAAGAAAAATTACTCTTGATTCAATCAGAATCTAGCTTAAATCAAGTACCAAGCCTCTTAATTTAAGTGGATTTCGTTTTGATTCAAGCAAAAATCCGATTGAATCAAGAGTATTTTTTCTTGTCAATGTTTTCAAGAGTCTGGACTCTAGATCCAATGTGTTTTTTTTCCCCAGTGTAATTCAAAATAAAAATCGTGCCTCCGATTCATTTCCTTTGGAAATATAGAGAGAGATTGGCATCAAAAACTGAGAAGCAACATTCTTGATCCGCGCGGAATTGATTCTTTCGATGTTCTAAACAATTTCTGCTTCCGCATTTCGTTGACATTTTGACGTAAGGGCGTATCTTAATTTCCACGTGAGCCCTGTTTTCCTATGAATCCACGCTTTCTGGAGTTCATTCGAAATTCTAGATACACCCTTACTTCAGAGGGACGAAAATGAAGATGTTGCATGTGTGAGGAATTTTCGATTTGACTGTTGATTCTTATGTAAAAGTTCGCGAGAAACGCGATGGTGCCACTGGTTTTCTCTGAAATCAACTCCCAAGCTCAAAAAAAGCTCTCAAGTTGAGACCAAAATGGAGGGGATATCCCACGCAATCCTGAGAGTCCACCCCTACATAATGACAAACTCTCCATACAAAGATAGAGAGCAAATACATTGACGGGCTGCCACTTTATTTGGGGACTCTAAAACTGAAAACACGACATCACCGCTAATGTAAGCTTATGAGCGCTAAATGAGAGCTTTTTTTGAGCTTGGGAGATGATTTCAGAGAAAACAGTGGCACCATCGTGTTTCCCGCAAACTTTTACATAAGAAACAACAGTCAAATCGCTAATTCCTCACACATGCAACACCTCCATTGTAAGACTCTTCGCTGATTCTGTTAAAACTATCCTACCTGCCTAACCTAAAATATTCTACCTTACTCTCTGTCATCGGTTCCAAAACATCGGAGCCTTCAAACTAGGTCACCGAGCCTCGGTCCATTTCTGCGCAGAATCCAATCCAACGATCCCCGAACTCCGGACGTCCGCCATGAATCCGGGGTCCGCCCGTGAAGAGAAGTCGGAGGGGTGGAAAGGGGGGGGAGTGCTTTCTACGCAGGACGGAAAACCAATATCCACGACGCGACGCGACGGCTAACATATTCATCTCGATCATGAAAGTGAAATTATCTGCTCATCAATTGTCAGGCGAGCTCATTAAAACCGTGTTAGCTCTATTGAATACACAGACGCCACCGCGCCGCGACGCCGGAGTGGGTGCGCCAGAGGAGGAGGGGGTCTTTTCACACCGTTTCCTCATCCCGCGTCGATCGGGTCCCGGCGGCCGGAAAACGGGAGGATGCGACGCGACGAAGCGTCGCACAGTGTACCGAGTCAATGAGAGAGGTCGAACATGACTTCTTGGACTAAAAATGCTAATTTTGATGTTTATTTAGTCACATTTTAAATTTGAAGAGGTGTTCCCAGAAGAAAATTTCACAAAAAAACCAATGGAACCACTTTTAGAACCTCAGAATTTTTGTAAACGGAGTTACAAGCTTTTAAAAATTCCAAATTTTGTCCGACCTCTCCTATTGACTCGATCCACTGTGCGTCGACGATGACGACTGATGCCAAGTCTCGAAGGGGCCGGAGTTGGGGGTGCGGGGGACTTCCTCTCGGAAATTTTCGAAATTTTAAAGGATCTAATATGCAGTTTGTGTCAATTTCGTCATGGAGAATTATCGAATACAAGCTACCTTCCTTCTTATTCCTTCCTCTGTTTCTTCCTTCTATCCCTTTTTCTTCCTCCTTTTTTTCGGGCGAACGGGAAAGGGCTTACGCTCCTCCCCCTACATTCGCCTATACTATCAATCAAAGAAACATGAGCAGTTTAATGGGACACCGGGTCCTCTTATATTTCTTACCAAGCGTTCAAGTTTCCAAGATTATACAAAGTAGTCAAAAAATAACCGTCGTGCTATTCATGGAATAAAAAGTCTTACATATTCAAACTTTCCGTTAAAGAGACATGAGCTGTTAAGAGGGACAACGGGTCCTCTTATATTTCTTACCGAACGTTTAAGTCTCCAAGATTATATGAAGTGGTGCAAAAACTACTGTCGTTCTGTTCGTAAAAGATCTCACATATTCGAATTTTCCATCAAAGCAGAGCTGTTTGGAGGGCCAAAAGTTCCTCTTATATTTCTCACTTAGCGTTAAGTCTCCAAGATTACATGGAGTAATCTAAACGTACTTACACTACATTGGAAATTATGGATTCGGCTATGAAAAAAAGATTTGTTTAGTGATAGCGTTCAAAGGTATTAGGGCATTGTTTGAATTCAAGACTGTATTTGTGTTAAATAAAGATCGTCAAGTAAAAAAAAAAAAAAACTACTAAAATTTCCAGTTGGAAACTTCGAACAGTTCCATCGTCGAAGAACGATTTACGAATGAACATTTTACAGCGCTCAAATGTAGTTACGTTCTTTTGTAAAATTAGACTGATCATTCCACTGAAAACTTTGTGTTAGACTCACACTGGTAAAAAAAGCAGCTTGGATCAAGAATCCAGACTCTTAAAAACATTGACAAGAAAAAATACTCTTAATTCAATCGGATTTTTCCTTGAATCGAAGAGCCAAGACTCTTGATCTAAGCGGATTTCCATTTGAATCAAGAATATTTTTTCTTGTCAATATTTTTAAGAGTCTGGACTCTAGATCCAAGCTACTTTTTTTACCAGTGCAGGATTGCTAGTCAGTTGTGTCCAAACATTTCGAAAAGAGCTAGGACCTTGTTTTTGGCCAAAAAAGTAACTGGAGCGGTTGGATCAAAGATTACGGCCCCGAATTTGTCATGTAACGAGCGTTTAGAGGATTCGAGAACGGTTGGATCGTGTTTTATTTGATCAAATTGGCGGATAATAAAAACCTCGGACCATGATTCGATCTTCATTCAAAGAACGTGACATGCGTACCGTCACGTTCGTCATGAGATGATACACGATCACTGGAGGAGGACAATGCAAGGTGGCGTCTATTCGCAACAGACGTTTTCTTAAGGCGTATGAAGAGTTTTTAAGATGACCCAGACATTTTCGCGCTAATAGTGGTAATCTTGAAGAGTACGAGGACTGTGTGACCCATTGAACGATTGCGTCCTGCGCTGGAAAAAAAAAACACATAGGATCTAGAGTCCAGACTATTAAGAACATCGACAAGAAAAAATACCCTTGATTCGATCGGATTTTTGCTTAAATCGAGAACCAAGCCTCTTAATTTGAGCGGATTTCCTTTTGATTTAAGCAAAAATCTGATTGAATCAGGAGTATTTTTTCTTGTCAATGTTATCAAGAGTCTGGACTCTAGATCCAATGTGTTTTTTTTTCCAGTGTAAATATGGTAGATCAAAACATAGGGACTGGCTTATGCGATGTCTTCTGAGCAGAAAATATCTGGAAATGAAATGCGTTTTCTACTGGCATGCACCAATCGATCGGAAAATCGCTCTTCCCCAAGGTAATCTTGTTCCTGAAGGAGAAATCCTGAGGAAAACTTTGATTTATGGAAAATGCTATGAACGGATAAAACTGCTGATATTCTCCAATTTAGCGCTGAAAATCTATGGTGCACCATATTCCCTGATTCTTGTCTCATTCCAAAAATGATTTCGTCCTATATTAATTGATAGCATAGGTGCAGTAACATAAATATTTTTTTGAACGAGGCAAGGATCAAAGAAGATGTTGCAGCACACATCTCCAGCGCTGACAGTATGTTCTATACACA